CAGACAGGGTTTCACCGTGTTAGCCAGGATGGTCTCGATCTCCTGACCTCATGATCCACCTGCCTTGGCCTCCCAAAGTGCTGGGATTACAGGCGTGAGCCACCGCACCCCACAGCGCAAGGGTTGCAGTGAGCTAACACCACAACAAAAGCAAAACTCTGCCTAAGAAAAAAAAGCAATGAAAGGAAGCAATATACATTCTGTATTACCCGCATTCTAGCCAGAATAATGGAAAACAGAATACTTACCCGGGAGTAATTCTATATTTTTATCCCGGTTCCTGCATTTACTGCCTGACCTTGGTTAATTACATCCATTTCTGCCTGCCCTGAATTCTTGAAGGGTTTTAATTAATAGCTGGGTATCTACGAGTCAGGCATTAGTAAACATATCTATAATCTTACAACCTTACAAGTTATGTATTCTTGCTCCATTTTAATGACAAACTAAAGATCTGACATTGGCTGGGTGCAATGCCTCATGCCTGTCATCCCAGCACTTTGGGAGGCCGAGGTGGGCGGATCACAAGGTCAAGAGATATAAGACTATCCTGGCTAACACGGTGAAACCCCATCTCTACTAAAAATACAAAAAATTAGCTGGGCGTGGTGGCAGGCAACTGTAGCCCCAGCTACTCAGGAGGCTGAGACAGGAGAATGGTGTGAACCCAGGAGGCGGAGGTTTCCTGGGCGACAGTGCGAGACTCCATCTCAAAAAGATAAAAAATAAGAAAATCTGACACCAAGTGACTTACCCAAAGCCACACAGCTAGAAAGTACTACAATCAGGATTTCAAGAGTCTCGCTCTAAATCCTCTGCAAAGGCTTTGGTTAAGAGTTGAGGCCGGGCACAGTGGCTCATGCCTGTAATCCCAGCACTCTGGGAGGCCAAGGCAAGAAGATCACTTGAGGTCGGCAGCCTAGCCAAAATGGTGAAATCCTGTCTCCACTAAAAATACAAAAATTAGCTGGCCATCGTGGTGCGTGCCTATAATCTCAGCTATTCAGGAGAGTGAGGCAAGAGAATCACTTGAACCCAGGAGGTGGAGGTTGCAGTGAGCTGAGATCATGCCATTTGCACTCCAGTGTGGGTGACGGAGCGAGACTCCATCTCCAAAAAACAAAAAAAAAACCTAAAAACACAAAAATTAGCCGGGCGTGGTGGCACATGCCTATGGTCCCAGCTACTCAGGAGGCTGAGGCAGGAGAATGGCTTGAACCCAGGAGGCAGAGCTTGCAGTGAGCTGAGATCCTGCCATTGTACTCCAGCCTGGGTGACAGAGCAAGACTCCATCTCAAGAAAAAAAAAAAAAAATAAGTGGTAAAGTACACAAAAATGCTATGATAATATATGACCAAAATGCTACTGTGTAATATTTTTAAAGTAGGGAATTATACCAATTCACTCCTTTCTTCAAAATATTACATAAAAGTATTACTACTATATATCTAGTAACTTAAAAAAAGCCACACATTTGAATTGCAATGCTGTATTCATTCTGTATTTCTCTTTAGATAAAAATCAAAGTAAAACTAGAACTGATAGCTTTAAAAAAAATCTAGTCATAATTACTTTGAATTCATTCACACAGGTTTCTTGAATCTTAAGACAGGTATTTTCTTTAACTTCATGGCAGAACTTAGGAGTCTCACCAAACACACAAACACTGGCAACTTGATTCACTAGTTAACACCTCATTTGTATTTACAGGTGATCACTGTAGCACTCATATTCCTAATTAACAAAATCCTTCTAATTACAACTTGAAATTTGGTGGCCTCAAGTTCTCACTTTATTATCCCAGTAGTTTTAAACATGAAAATGCTGCATAGCTTACTGCAATCACTTAATAGCATTCCCTTGCTGCAGCAGCATCTGACACTGCCAGAATAGTTCTATTAAGTGAGAAAGAGCGTTCTCCACGCAGCAGGTCAGGATGCCTTGGCATCATTCTTCTCGCTCTCTACTTACTGTCAAGAGGCTAGGAAGAGAAAAAAAGAACTATTTTTTTTTTTTTAATTTTTCATTCCTGCAAGGAAAAAAAAGCAAAACCTCTCTGTGGTCAAATCTTCAGCCAATAGAAAAATCATTCCAATTAGTCCAATGGTGGTGTCATTGCTTTTAGGCACCAGTTTGGTACTATCCCATATACATGCCACATATTTTTATTGAACTTTAAAAGACAAGTAGAATTATCGACCAGGCACGGTGGCTCAGGCCTTGTAATCCCAGCACTTTGGGAGGCCAAGGTGGGTGGATTACCTGAGGTCAGGAGATGGAGACCAGCCTGGCCAACATGGTGAAACCCCATCTCTACCAAAAAAAAAAAAAAAACACAAAAATTAGCCGGGCATGGTGGCATACGCCTGTAATCCCAGCTACTCGGGAGGCTGAGGCAGGAGAATTGCTTAAGCCCGGGAGACGGAGGTTGCAGTGAGCCAAGATTGTGCCACTGCACTCCAGCCAGGCCAACAGAGAAAGACTCTCAAAAGAGACAAGTAGAATTGTTACAAATCATATAACAAAACACATTTATACTTTAAAAAAGACATCTCCCTGCCTGTTCCAGATGTTCAAATGCCAGTTTAAGAAAAACCCGGCCGGGTACGGTGGCTCACGCCTGTAATCTTAGCACTTTGGGAGGCCGAGGGAGGCGGATCACAAGGTCAGAAGTTCAAGACCAGCCTGGCCAACATGGTGAAACCCCGTCTCTACTAAAAATACAAAACTTAGCTGGGCATGGTGGTGGGCGCCTGTAATCCCAGCTACTGGGGAGGCTAAGGCAAGAGAATCGCTTGAATTCGCGAGGCGGAGGCTGCAGTGAGCTGAGATCAGGCCACTGCACTCCAGCCTGGGTGACAGTGTGAGACTCCATCTCAAAAAAAAAAAAAAAAGAAAAAGAAAAAAAGAAAAACCCTGGTCTTCCACTGATTTGGTTCAAAATATTTTACAGACTGCATCATCTGTTTGAAATACATTACCTTTACTGTTACCAATATGAAAAAGTGGACCTTTAGTTCCTCAGAAAAACAAACTATTACTTTTTTAAAGGAAAACTGTTATCAAGAGATGAAATCTGAAAAACTTGAGTCTTTAATTCTACCCTTGGGAATGTAATAAATTATTCCTTTTATATTCCAATACACAAAGAGCTCTTGTAGACAAAAATCAGGCTGCTCAAACTAAAAACAGCATGTACCTAGGATCCTGGCAGTTTACAGGTGTTTGATTATCCTTAACCAGAGTAACTCATTAGAAGCATTTAAAACTATTTAGGAGGGGGGAGGGGGAAGCCCAGGAGATAAGAGCTACATTTCATATCTTTTTGAAACCCTCAAAGCTCTACACTCGTTATATTGCTTGAGCAAAAAACATAAAATTGCTAATTTAAATTCGAATGGAAATAGTAACTGGTTACCTTTCACTCCAAAATTGGGTCAAACAATAGGAAAGGGGGAAAAAATCTACTTTTAAAATTTTTTAATTTAAAAGCAAGATGGGGATATTCATTAGACCTCCTTCACTTTGAAAAAGACAAAAAACGAATTCAGTTTTGGTTTCTCTTACCTCTTCTGAGCCCTTCTGAATAATGCCTGAAACACACTAGCTGAAATCACAGACGATTACTGAGCAATGTTCTCTTTTCACAAGACCCCCCAAGACCAGAAGCAGTTACTTCCTTTGGAAGTGCCCTGTGGCTGAGGCCATGTGGTTAACATGTGGGAACAAGCACAAGCCTTACCCATAATAAAATCAACACCTAAACCCAAATGTGGACCATTATGCCATTCTAAAATAGGTTCTCACGATATGGAAAAATCTAGATGGAGGGGGGCTAGTTGAATTTCGTGTCTCGTTTGTAATTACATCTGTTTCATTAATCCAAGAAATGATGCAGACTACCGCCCGCTGCTGTGGTTTTGGAGCTTTGACAAATCCGTGTTTTTTTCTGGTAATGGCGCTTTTAAAGGATCCCAGCAACTTAAACCGTGTTGACTCAGGGAAAGTGAGCCCCATCAGCCTCTTTTCGAATGGTAATATAACACAAGCAACTTAGTATTTAAATGATAAAAATTCAAGAACCGGGAAACTATCAACTATGGGGAGTATAAACACAAAAGGCTCCCAAGTCTTCCAGCAGTGTCTCGCCACCCCAAACACAAGGGCTCCTTCAAGAATCCTTTTTTTTTTTTTTTTTTTTAAAGACGGAGTCTCGCTCTGTTGCCCAGGCTGTAGTGGCGCGATCTCGGCTCACCACAACCTCCGCCTCCCGGGTTCACGCGATTTTCCTGTCTCAGCCTCCCGAGTAGCTGGGATTACAGAAGCCCGCCACCATGCCCGGCTAATTTTTGTGTTTTTAGTAGAGACAGAGTTTCACCATGTTGACCAGGCTGGTCTCGAACTCCTGACCTCGTGATCCGCCCGCCTCGGCCTCCCAAAGCGAGGGGATTACAAGCGTGAGCCACCGCGCCCGGCCTAAGAACCCTTTTCTAAGGCCCCCAAAAACCTTGGCACATGGCCCGCCAGGCGCACGACCCCAGCACATGGCCGGCACGACTATACCCACCCCATCCCCCCTTCGTCGGAGCCTTTCCCCACCACACGGACTCCTTCCAGTGAGTTCCCGCCAAATCCACTCTCGACCCCTCATTCCGCGACCCTCGAAGCGTCAGGGCCGAGGCCCCAAGGGCGCACGGGCGGGCCTCCTCTGCCCTAAGCCTGCGGCCTGGGGTGCGGCCCTGGCGCCGAGAGACCCGCATGCTCGGCGACCCAGCTTTTCAGGACGAAGAAAGGACAAGAGTGTCGTCCGACAGCGGTGCGCCAGAAACCCGGGTCCGAGGCGGCGGCAGCAGCACCCGGGCTTCCCGCCTGACGCAGCAGCGGCGCAGGCCAAAGTGCGGCCGCCATCGCCGCCTCGCCGCTCCCTACCCTCTCTGTCCGCCACAGACCCGGCCCGCACTGCGGCTCCCTCAGCGCCGGCCCCCTCCCCCAGCCCTCACCTTCCGCGTCGGAGCGGACCCGCAGCGGCGGAGACTCGGACGCAGGCCTGGGGAAGACGGCTCGCAAGGTAGAGGCTGTTTATTTTGAGGGTCCTTGCCTGCGCCACACGCGGGTCTGCACACGGCCCCACACACGCCGCTGCGCACGGCTCTCCTCCGCCTCGCCCACGCGGCCAATCAGCGCGCGGGGTTCGGTAGTCCAATCAGTGTCGCCCGTGGGAGGGCCGCCCATCCAGAGCGCGGCGCGGGGCGGGGCGAGTGCTTCTGCGCGCCGCGGCCTTACCCGCTGTGCCCCGGGCGCGGCCTTTCCCGCCGGGATCCTGGTCCCGATGCTTCTCGGGCGGTTCCCAGCTGGGTCCGGGCCCGGCCGGACTGGGTGGAAATCTGGCTGACCTTGGTGGTCTGTCTTGTCAGCTGGAGCAAAGGGATGCCAGGGGACGGGTCTCGGTGCAGTGACAGCGATTAGCTTGGGGCCGCAGAAAGTTTCTCCCCCTTCTCGGGCTCCTGCCAGGCCCTTGGCTTTCAGAGCCAGGCCCGATTTCCAGATAACATTTAAGTTTGCAGAAAAGGGGATGCCAGGTCACGGTCGTCACGGCTGTGGGATGTAGGCTGAGATTTGTATTGATTTTGTGAGCCGGGGAAGGCCTTGCTCCTTTCTCCGCCAGGACTGATGTATCTTCCCAAGATGAAAGTGCCTTGTAAGGGCGAGGGGCCTTCCTGGGAAGGTCATGAGCATGGAAGGGAGTGGGACCCAGGGTGTGACGTTTAGCACGTTTGTGAGTGACATCCCCCTGGAGGGCCAGGAGAACCTTTTGACCTGGTCTGTCATATTCAGGAATAGACTTCAGTTTAGATACGGTATTTTCTCCAAAAGAGATTTGTGTATATAGCCCTAGATATTCTTGTCAAGATTAAACCCAATTTAAATTGTTAACTGTAAACTATAATATTTTAGAATTTTGTGTCTCATCCTAGAATGGCTTTATTCGAAACAAAAAAAAAGGGAAGAGTCCCAAGTTTAATCTCAGAGAAACCTCCAAGTTCAATACTGATTTCTTTTTCTTTTCTTTTTTTTTTTTTTAAGAGTGGGGTCTTGCTCTGTCGCTGGCATTACAGGCATGGGCCACCACTCCCTAATCCCAGTGCTATGATTTTTGAAATCATGTTCGTGAGAAGGCAGAGCACATGTGCTGAGAATCAGGCATTAAACCTGGGTTCAAATCATTAGTGCTTAATCATTGTAAAGCAGGAGATTGTGTTCAACATAGCAATTATCAGAGAATGAATGCATAACTTTAAAGACCAATGATATTTTAAACTTTTTTTTTTTTTTTTTTGAGAACGGAGGCTCGCTCCGTCGCCCAGGCAGGAGTGTAATGGCACGATCTCGGCTCACTGCAACCTCCACCTCCCGGATTCAAGCGATTCTCCTGCCTCAGCCTCCCGAGTAGCTGGGATTACAGGCATGCGCCACCACGCCCAGCTAATTTTGTATTTTTAGTAGAAGCGGAGTTTCTCCATGTTGGTCAGGCTGGTCTCAAACTCCCGACCTCAGGTGATCCGCCCACCCAAAGTGGTGGTCAGCCTCCCTAACTGCTGGGATTACAGGCATGAGCCAATGCGCCTGGCTGAACTTTTTGAATTTATCTATTACTATTTTTTGAGACAGAGTCTCCCTATGTCTCCCAGGCTGGAGTGCGATCTCAGCTCATTGCAACCTCCACCTCCCATGTTCGACCAATTCTGCCTCAGCCTCCCGAGTAGCTGCAATTACAGGCGCCCTCCACCACGCCTGGCTAATTTTGTATTTTTAGTAGAGATGGGGTTTCACCATGTTGGCCAGGATGGTCTTGAACTCCTGGCCTCAAGCAGTACTAGGCCAAAGTGAAAGGATTACAGGTGTGAGCTACCGCACCCAGCCTTAAACATTTTTTTAATTAAAGCAACCTAAGGTAAAAATTTTTTAACCAAATTTAACCAAATCCCAATCAGATTGAATACATGCCTAGCAGCTTATGTGTTGTGCTAAAACGCGATATATTATCTGCCAATAAAAAACAGTATTTTGTATTTATGTAGTTTTATTACCAAGAGGCTTACTCGGCTTTATAGATGTCCCCTCTGTAATCTGATTAACCTTCATAGTATCTTGAGGTAATGTGTAGTGTAGCAATCAGACACTTAGGTAGTGACTTCCTGAGCTCTAACAATGAGTCAAGAGGCTGTGTATGAAGTCCAACCTGGGTGTGTCCACACCACACCAGGAGGACAAGTTAAAATTACCATAGGACCAAAAATTAGTATTTTCTGACTTATTTTTGTTTACCATTCCAACCATGGTACTCTATAAAATGTTTGCTGTTCATTATAGACCCATGAATGGAATATTCCTAATATTTAAAACAAAAATTTTAACAGCTATAGAAAATGAAAGTAAGTGTGAGACAGAGATACTGGACATAATGTTCTATAGGTTTTAAAAGACTTAAGTAGAAGAAATGGAAACATAATGTCTTTACTTCTTGGCAGTGGAGTAGTAACAGCTAATGGCTCTTTCTACCTGGCGTGCAGCTTCCTGTAATGACTATTATTAATAGAGCCAGGCTGATCGTTAGGCACCATGACTATCTCCAGAAAAGGTGTATGGTGGAATTTAACTACAATGGCTTGTATTGCCTGGATATGCCCTTTGGTACACCTATTTTACTAGAGATGTTTGAAAATAGGAAAAAGCTCACTCAAAAGATAAGCCGCCAGTGGGACTTGAAGAGGCTCCCATTACATTCCTCTTCCCTGGAGATGTTTTATTCCCCTCCTCTCCTCCAGTGTTCAGTCTCATACTCAGCATTGCAAGGGTTACAAAGGTGACTAGTTAAGACAGAGTTTGCCCTTGAAGAACTTGCAGGATAACAAGGGCCATAAGAAAGTATTAAGTGTCGGCCAGGTTCGGTGGCTCACGCCTGTAATCCAGCACTTTGGGAGGCCGAGGCGGACGGATCACGAGGTCAGGAGATCGAGACCATCCTGGCTAAGACGGTGAAACCCCGTCTCTACTAAAAATACAAAAAACTTCCCAGCACTGGCCGGGTGCGGTGGCTCATGGCTGTAATCCCAGCACTTTGGGAGGCCGAGGCGGGCAGATCACGAGGTCAGCAGATCAAGACCATCCTGGCTAACACAGTGAAATCCCGTCTCTACTAAAAATAAAAAAAATTAGCCGGTCGTGGTGGCGGGCACCCATAGTCCCAGCTACTCGAGCGGTTGAGGCAGGAGAATCACTTGAACCCGAGAGGCAGAGCTTGAAGTGAGCCGAGATCGTGCCACTGCACTCCAGCCTGGGCAACAGAGTGAGACTCAGTCTCCAAAAAAGAAAAGAGAAAAGAAAAAAAAACCAAAAAACTTCCCAGCACTTTGGGAGGTGGAGGTAGGTGGATCACCTGAGGTCTACTAATAACACAAGAATTAGCCGAGTGTGGTGGTGGGCACCTGTAATCCCAGCTACTCAAGAAGCTGAGGCAGGAGAATTGCTTGCACCTGGGAGGTGGAGGTTGCAGTGAGCCGAAATTGGGCCACTGCACTTCAGCCTGCGCGAAAGAGGGAGACGCCATCTCAAAAAAAAAAAAGAAAAAAGTCTGGGCGCAGTGTCTCACGCCTGTAATCCCAGCACTTTGGGAGGCCAAGGCGGGTGGATCACGAGGTAAGGAGATCGAGACCATCCTGGCTAACATGGTGAAACCCCATCTCTACTAAAAATACAAAAAACTAGCCTTAAGTGTCCTGAGAGAAGACCAGCTAAAATGCTATGATTCAGCATCATTCCTAAAATGGGTACCAGTTGAGCAGCAATACCTGGCAACTCTTAATTTCTGCTTAAATGCCCAACTGCTTAGTACATGCTCTTAAATTGAGGGGATAGATGATATCATATAAACCCATGTCTTGTCCCTGCCAGCAAGGAAATGGTGCTCTGTGACTTTACTTGGAAAGTATGTAACTAAGACTGAGGAGAATAAATTGGTGTTTTCACCTCTCATATTTGCTTCTGAAGCAGAAAGTTTACTAAGCTAAATCCTGAACTAGGAATTAGTAATACTAGTAATAGCTAATTGTTAATATAGATACAGCTCTTATAACAGTTTCTGGCATAATTACTATTCAAATATTATTTCTTATTCTTATTTATTGGGTGCTTGCTATATGCCAGGCAATGTTTTTAACCTATTTATGAGTTTTCACAAACACCCTAGAAGTACTTGTATTATCCCCATGAGGAAACAGGTACAGAGAGTTTAAGTAATCTGCTCAAGGTCAGAAAGTGAACAAATGACAGGTCAAGCTTCAAACACAGCCCATGTGCTTGAACAGTGCTACTGGCCTCCCAGTAGTTACTGAGGCCTACTCCTATAAAATTCCATTGACTCTCTAAAGTGATGGTGTAGGGAATGCTAACTGATGATAAAGAAAATATGAAACACTGACCAATCATTTAGTGAGCATTTTATAAGTTAGTTGGCTTCCTCCTCTGTGACCTTAAATTGAAACTCTCTACTGCAAACTAACTGGTTAGAGAAAAATTGTATTTGCAAATAGTTTTAAAAGTTTCAAAGTAGGCCAGGCACGATGGCTCATGCCTGTAATCTCAGTACTTTGGGAGGCTGAGGCGGTGGATCAACAAGGTCAGGAAGATCAAGACACCCCTGGCTAACAAGGTGAAACCCTGACTCTACTAAATAATACAAAAAAATGACCTCCGTGGTGGCGGGTGGCCTGTAGTCCCCAGCTACCTCGGAGAGCTGAGGCAGGAGAATGGCGTGGAACCCGGGAGGCAGAGCTTGCAGTGAGCTGAGATGGCGCCACTGCACTCAACCTGGGATAACAGAGCGACACTCCATCTCAAAAAGAAAAAAAGTTTTCAAAGTAAAAGTTTCAAAGTAAAAACCACCCATCTTCTTTCTTTTCCTTCTTGTATAAGAAGAACGACCTGCATCCATAAGCAGAGCAGCCCTCTTTTTTTCCTTAAAAGAAAAAATAGCTGGCCAGGTGCAGTGTCCACGCCTGTAATCCCAACACTTTGAGAGGCTGCGGCAGGCAGATTGCTTGAGACTCAGGAGTTTTGAGACCAGCCTGGGTAACATAGTGAAACCCTGCCTCTACCCAAAAATACAGAAAATTAGCCAGACGGGTGGGCGCCTGCCTGTAGTCCAGCTACTCAAGGAAGCT